CCTGGCACGCTCACTGATGCCATGTTCACCGGGCACCCTGGCAAGCTTGCTGATGCCATACAGGCACCTGGCACACTCGCTGATGCCACGTTCACCAGGCACCCTGGCAAGCTTGCCGATGCCATACTCACAGGCACCCTGGCATGCTCACTGATGCCATGTTCACCGGGCACCCTGGCAAGCTCGCCAATGCCATGCTCACAGGCACCCTGGCATGCTCACTGATGCCACTCACATACACATGGATGGGCATCCCTGATCTTATTTCTGTCTGCTTTTCACACCACATCCCAATGAGGAGGGCAGAGAGGAGCTCCCACCACCAGGCACATGCACCCTTCATTTGTGAACTAGCAACCAGGGCTTCCTAGAGCAGCCACCTGCCCGACTTACTTGGAAAAGTTGAATCTGGGGAAGCAAATGGTATTCTTTATGTAGACGGTAAAGTCTTCAGCCTTTCCCAAAAGTGGCTTCCTGAAAGTCCCAGCAAGTCAGGTTAGTAATTGCTGGTCTGAGCTGAGCTCCTCAGGCACACTGGGCTGCCCGGGGCTAGCAGATAGAAGGAATGAGGAGACCCCAGCAGCTGTGTGCATACAGGACCGCCGGGTGCTCGAAACCCCATGTCTAGGACTGTCTGGGCTTCACCCAAGTCCAGCTTGGCCAGCTGCCATCCCACCCTGGTCCTCTCCCCTGCCCCCTAGCCCAGGCAGGGGGAGCAGCTTGCTCCAGCCCAGGGACCCCTGCCTGGACGGAGAGGCAGAGGCCAGAGGCGGCATGGCCTGCCAGAAGGCTCTCAAAGGGTAATACCTGCCTCAGGCAGGCTCCTCCCCCTAATCCACTCTCCTCAAGCCACAGAGACTTACTTGGGCTTGGACACCTTCTCCACCGGGCACCAGGCAAAGATCTCACATGTGCCACTGCTATTGCCAGCTTCCATCAGACAGGTGCCAGTCTTCACTCCTGGGCAGGGAGGGAGCAATGGATTCCATGGGGGAGGGACTGGTGCCCCAAGCCCAGCCCTGCCCCAGGCTGCCCCTGGCCATGGCCCCACTCCCCCATGGCTCACCATTCCCAGTTATGATAGCTTCTCCTTTGGGGCAGTCACTGTCTTGGAAGCACATGGCACCGGGGATGTGGGAGCTCTGCTGGGCGGAGGGAAATGGGGGTGAGGAGACCAGAGATGGCACAGTACCTAAAGTGCTGGGCTCAGAGTCAGGCACACCTGAGTTCAAATCCAGCCTCGGATGCTGGGTGACCCTGGGCAAGTCATTTAACCTCTGTCTGCCCCAGTTTCCTCAACTGCAAAATGGGGATAATAACAGCACCTCCCTCCAGGGTTGTTGTAAGAATCAAATAAGATAATAATTGTGAGGGGCAGCTAGGTGGCGCAGTGGATAGAGCACCGGCCCAGAAGTCAGGAGGACCTGAGTACAAATCTGGCCTCAGATCAAACACTTGACACTTACTAGCTGTGTGACCCTTGGCAAGTCACTTAACCCCAATTGCCTTAAAAAAAAAAAAGGTAATTGTGAAGTGCTTAGCCTGCCCTTGGACAGCTTAGGTTGCGCCAGAGTGCACAGAGCGCCAGGCCTGGAGTCAAGAAGACCTGAGTTCAAATGTGACCTCAGGCACTTACTAGCTGTGTGACCCTGGGCAAGTCACTTAGCCAGTTTGCCTCAGTTTCCTTATCTGTAAAAAGAGCTGGAGAAGGAAATGGCAAACCACTCCAGTATCTCTGCCAAGAAAACCCCAAATGGGGCCACGAAGAGTCTGACACAACTGAAAATAACTGAACACCAAAAACAGTGTCTGGTCCAGCGCCTGAGTAGGTGTTACAGAAATCCTTCCTCCCCCAAGGAAGGTTCTGGAGACCTGGCCCCTTCGCCTCCCATCTCCCCTCCCAAACCCATCTGCTCCCCAGCACAAGATTCAGCTTCCCAACACTTGGCCTTGTTCGTCCAGCTCAGAAGTCCTCAGGGGCTCCTCCCTGCCCCAAGACAACCTCCAAACTCCTAAGTGTGACTTTTAAGGCCCTTCACAAACTACCTCCAATCCAATGTTACCCCTCCCATCACTCTCCTCCAGACCATTCCTTAAACACAGTTTACACCTTCCTGCCATCCTCTCCCATTGCAGCTTTGCCTGCATAATTCCTTCAAGGCCCGTGTCAGATGCCACTCCCTCCAGGAAGCCCTTTCCTGCTGGCTCCAGTGCAGACAGGGTGAACTCTACCTGAAGGTCCTGAGCCTGGGGACAGCCCCTGGCACCGTCCTTCCAAAGGGCCCTATAACTGCTCTCCCCTGTCTTCTGTCAAGCCACAGCTGGCATTCCAGCCCCTTGGGCACCAGCCCTCTATTCCCTCCTCTAGCCACTGACCCTGCCACTCCTCAGCCTCTCCCGCCAAGGCCCACAGGACTCTCTTCAATTCCCATTCCATTCTGGGCAACCGTGGCCCTCTGCCTCCTCCCCTCATCCCTTGTTGCATAAACCTCTGAGCATTCAGTGCCCACGTTAACGGCTCACACTCTCAGAGCCTTGAATTCATCAGCTTGCATGCCTCCGCCTCACTCTGCCCCAGAAAGACCCAGGCAAACCAGGAGATAATAGGTCTAGAAGAGGCAGCAGAGATGTGAGGATCAGATCCCCAGCAGAGGCACCTATCTTTTGTCCTGCCTGGGGCTCTGAGCAGTGGCATGGTCAGAGCTGTGGTTGAAGACAGTCCCTTTGGTGGATGCTCCTTTGTGGGTGGGATGAATGGGGGTGGGCAGAGACTGGAGGAATCCCATTTATCCTATCTCCCCCTGGCACTGAGAGTCAGCGTCCTACGCAGAGCAGGCGCTCAGGAAATGTTGGATCGATTGAATTAGTTGAATAGAATATGGACGAGTTTGCAAGGAAAAATTCTGCTCCCTGTCCAGAACCTGACTCCTAACCCGCCCCCACACACACACTTCTTGCTGTTCTCTCCATAGGTGCCCTGCTAGTTACAAAAAGGACTAGGTGAGAGGGGGTGGGCATGACACATGGCATAGGGAAGGTGGCCTGGCTTGGCTCAGTGCTGGAGATAGCTCTGGGGCCAGATGGGGATGATAGGAGTCGGGGATGGGAG